AATTAAAGCCGAAAATATGATCTCATTAGTGTAATAAATATATTATGTAATATAAAATACATTTATTCAGTTTTTTACATATATTTTTTTTTAAACCTACTTGATATTAAATTATTATTGCTACCTACTTTGCATACATTATGTATTTTATAATTAATTTTTATTTCAATAATCATATAGTTTTAATTTGAAATACTCATAAATTTAATGGATAATTATTCATGGTTGGCAAATTCTGCTCAAGAGGTTGGTAAATTCCGATCTGAATATTCCAGGTTAATTTTTAGCAAATGTTTTTAGCAATTACGCGCTTGAAACGAACAAGTGAAAAATAGTTAATATTCATAAATCATAATAGTTATAACTTGTGTGATTATTGATAATTCAATATTTATTAAAATAAAGTTATATTATTATATTATTTGTGCAATATATACCAACTTGAATAATTAATATACCTATTTTTTATTATACATTAGCTCGTTAATTGTATCACTACAATATACATTGTATATTATATATATATWTATAAATTGTTATTATATTTTAACATTAAAATTTAACATCGTTAATTTCTTCCGACTTTTAATTCAATCATTTACTAGGATAAAACTTAATTAATTTGGGAGCTATTTTAGATCATCATTGTTATGGAAAAATGTCACTTCAAACGCTTCTCTCCCCCACAAAATCGCGCATGAATTAATTGTTATGTATTTTAATTTGTATAAAAATATATATAACATTAAAGCAAAATTGGGATGATTAGTAAAATTAGAGATAATAATATTAAAGATTGATAAGTATGCTGACGTTTGATGCTTTGTATGATACTATATGATACTGTATGATACTGTATGATTTCGATGAATTTAAGTAATAATGTGATATAACTGATAGAAGGTACAGTAAAATATCGAAAGTCGATAGTGCATAGTTATATTTGATGCTATTACCTTTATTAATATTCTTAGAGCAGAAGTCAATCGAACTTCACATAAAATATTACAACCTTACTAAATATTTAAAACGTACGCAACACATTTTCCAACAAAACATAAACACTTAGGTGAGATTTAAAATGATGACTTTTTCTAGATTTAATTTTAAGTTTTTGTTGAATTTATAATGCGGTTTTTTGTTGCTTATTCATTTTTGCGGAATAAAAATAATATTATGCATTTAAGGATAAATATTAAAGATTTAAATAAATGCAATTTATAAACTAAATATAAAATATCTATCTACGAGTAACGACTCAAATATAAAATTGTCCTGCCTTCTGCGTATAACATTAAATTAATTTAAAAAATTATTCTAGAATATTTAATAATTATTATTTGTGCCAATTATCTATTTAATTTACCAATTATTATAAACGTCAGTTTTTCTTAAATAATAACCTATACGTTACACGTAAAATTTGTAGTAGAAACTAATAATGTAACATGTTATTATGATAGTAATAATAATAATAATAATAATATGTATATTATAATTCACAAGTTCTGTGAGTTATAAGTAAAATATTATTTTAGATTTTATAGCAGAATATTTCTACGAGTAATGCGTAGGTATTAATACAAATTGTATTACTTTTCATACAATCCAAATAACATTATAAAAATCAGTGAAATTGATCACATATTTACATTCAGGCATACATAATATATATTATAAAGTACAATATATATGTGTGTGTGTTTGTGTGTACACTTATTATCAGCACTTTAAATTGAATTCCATTTGGTGTGAAAAATGATCTTGGGTCGGCAGAAACTATTATTATTGTAGATAACCGTGCTGAACATTTATGTAACTTGGAAGCCCACTGGGTTAAAAATTGTATTTTGTTATCGAATTGTTCGAGGTCCGTTACACAGTGCCACAGTAGTTTATGGACATCTGCTATTAGGTGTTGGTAATTTCATTACATTTTGRATTTCCCAAATTCCCGAGGATATAAAATCAATGTTTAGACATTTTCACAAAACCTATTTGATTTAAATGTCACACATAAACTACTGACTTATCAACATAATATTCAGATCACATAAACGTATATTGTTCCAAATATTATTAGAAGCTTAATTACTAATATTAATGTTTCAGATAGATAAAAATAAAATTTTTAAAAGCAAAAAAAATTTAAATTTATATTTTATTAAAACTGTTTGCAACCCAGTAAACGTTGTTTACATTTTTTATGATTTAATTACGTTATTTTTTTTTAAGTACAACGTTTAGTATAAGATATTATATTTTTATGTAATTTATAACTACTCTGTTTTAAGGTATAATTTCTAGTTATAGCATAATAAAACTTAAATAGTGGCAAAATGCATACAATATTCCATATATCAGTAACTAAATTATGTGGTTAAATTGTAAGCTGTACACTTTTTCCTAAATGTTTAAAGAATATAATATGATGATACGTTATTTTATAGACTCTAAAATGTAAGAATACTTCACATTGGTTTTCATGTTTAGCGGTTACAACTAACTATCAATTAATATATTCGTATTATAACTTGTACCTACTCTAAAATGTTATTAAAAAAAATTGATATGATAAGAAAAAAACAGACTATTTTAAAATTATTTTTATTCTAAACTATCATAATTTTACTTGAAATATCAATTAAATAACAAAAAATACATTTATATTTTTAATTTAATGTTAGCTTTTGTATTTATTTAAGGTCATATTTTTAATATGTATAAAAATAAAAAAAAATATTATAAGTAATGATTTCAACGTTTAACTAAATGTACCAACATAAGAGAAGATGCTATCCATTTACATTAATACATTACTTCAAAATTATTATGAACTTATAAAATAAGGTTGAATATAATTAGATATTTTAAGGGTTATTTAGATATTAACTGCTAAGTACGTAGGTACGTAATGACAATGGACAATGTTAAAAGAAAATGGCCAAGATTTATCTTATTTTGTATTTCGTGAAACTTAAGTACTTAGGTAGATTGAGATTGGTTAGAGAATATTRCTTGGTATATTTACCATGATAAAACTATGTATACAGTATTACCTCTATGTCTTATATTTGTGGACATATTTTAGGTACTTTTGATTCTATAATAATTAGTTCTAAGTCTTCTAGTTGTAATTAAAAAATAAAAAATAAATGTATATATTAAATATTGGTGATTATAATATACTTAATATGTATTATAGTTATATTATAAACGATAAAAATATTGCTAGACAGATAAAAGCCAGATAAATTGATAAAAAAAATAGAAATTAAATATTACGCATCAATTTAGTATTAGAATTATTTATAAGTAAGCATAAGTCAATTATAAATATTTTATAATTTCTAATTTTTTTAAATTTTTTTATTTKGAAATTCTCGTAAAAACTATGATAGTTCGACGATTACAATATTAAAATTAAAATGTTGATACTTATTTAAGAATAAAGAGAACAAAAATACACAGTCTAAGATATTATGTTAAAATTTAAAATGTATTGCGAAAAATACGTTGTTCTCAGCACATATTGTAATAGTGTATTATTATTATTATTTTTAAATTAACTACACTCAATAATTATTTAGGTAAGTTATAGGTCTTAAGGTTAACTAAAAAATGATTAAGTTGTTGTTAATTTACCACTCTCATTTTGACAAAAGTGTATAAACACTTTTTTAATTTAATTTTCTAAATAAAACCAAATTTGATAAGTTGTTTTTTTTAAATATCATTGTATGTATTTTTTTATAAGCTATAATGGTTTTTAAACTTATGTATTCTATAAAGTTTGTAGACTTTTCAACCTTTTTAAAACATTATTTTTATTTTTTATTTTTATTAGAAATAAACAATCTATACTGTTTATGTGGTAAAAGTAATTACATAGACATGAAATGTTAAATAAGAAGCATTCAGTTTGATTTATAATTATTATAATTATTATTTTTTTAAATTATTTAAATTTTTAAAACTAAGCTTAAAGAGATTTCTAGAAAAAAAAACATAATCTAAAACAGTTAAAACAAATAGTAAGTACCCATTCCACTTAGAATCTTAAAATTGAGTCAATAGTCTATACGACGCTATAAATATTTAATTACGATAAACTTTTAGTCATTTACCCATTGACTACAATAAAAAAGTTTTTTATAATTTTTTTTTTTTAAAGCAGATTCCTTTTTTAGTGATGCAATTAATTATTTTATTGAAAATCAA